TTTTTGTTGGTAGTACAATAAATAATAAAGGCAAACTTATATCAATTCTATCCAAATGCATATTTTCCATATATGTTTCAATGATTTTTAATGCCTTTCTTGCTTCAGGCGTTAACATTCGGGGTGAATTTGGATCTGATAGACCTTTTAGGATATCAAATAAAGGTCCCAACTCTCCTGTTGGTATACCTAGATAAGGCCTTATCCAATTTATGTCTCCTAATAACTTTTGAAAGTCGTTAAGTGATTTGAGTTGATCTACTCATATTTGAATTTTTGGTGGACGGACCATGGTTGAGGATAATAGAACTCCTAAATAATTAATTGGAAAATTTAATTGTACTTTATCTATTGCTATCTCTAGATTATAATTTTTTAATAAGTTTGTAAGTGTGGCATAACATTCTAGCAATGTGTTCTTATCTTTGTGTGCTAATAATACATCATCCATATAGTGAAATATTTGTAGTTCAGGATTTTGATTTCTAAGTGGCTGGATTGCTTTGTTAACATTAATTTGACATATACTTGGGCTGTTAGCCATCCCTTGAGTGAGTACTTTCCATTCATATCTTTGATCAGGAACTTCATGATTCAGTGCAGGGATAGTAAATGCAAAATGTGGACTGTCCTCAGGAATTGAAAAAAAAAAAAAAAAACAATCTTTAATATCTATAACTAAAACATACCAGGTTTTTGGCAAAGCAGACAATTGGGGAATCCCTGATTGAGCAGGTCCTATAAACATCTCATTATTAGTGGCTCTTAAATCTTGCAATAATCTCCATTTACCAGATTTCTTTTTGATGACAAAAATGGGAGTATTATGGGGAGATACAGAAGGTTGTATATGTCCCTCTGCTAATTGTTGTTTGACCAGGTCATGGGCTGCTTGTGTCTTTTCTTTAGTCAGGGGCCATTGAGGAACCCATACTGGCCTTTCTGATTTCCAAGTAATTTTTATTGTCTCAATGACCCCTCCTGAAAACCCAATCCATGTCTGTCTGTTCCTTGATTTATTTGTATTGGTGCTGCTATACCTTGTTCTTGTTCTCCTAATCTTTTTCCTTTCCTAAAAACCTTATCTAGCCATAATACTGGGCACATTTGGATTGATGTTATTTGTTAATGTCAAACCTAATTGATCTAGGACATCTCGTCCCCATAAATTTATAGGAAGATGATCCAGTACATATGGCTGTATAGTTCCTTCACATCCTTCAGGATCCTTCCAATCTAATACCATTGTACTTCTATGGGGATTATTTGCCACTCCGAGGCCTCAAAGCGTTTGAGTGGCTGGTTGTAACGGCCAAATTTTGGCCATTCTTGACGAGAGATGATGCTAAGGTCTACACCTGTATCCAGCAGCCCATTAAATTCATATCCTTGAATATTTAGTTTTAGCATGGGGTGAGAATCTAAATTTAAAGAAATCATAGCCCAATCTACACCTGTGGAGCCTAATCACCTGGAACCTCTTTCCTATAGTATGGCTGGAAAATTTATTATGTAGGCTGGGTATTATTAGTAACTGTGGTATTCTATCTCCTGGTGAAATTGCTGATATACCCCTTGGAGAACTGGCTATAATTTTTATCATAAGTCCTTTTAGAGTAGAAGAACTGTGTCCCAATAATAAGCCTACTGTTCCTTGGGGAAGAGGTCCTTTTACCTCTGTGGGAATGATTTGAACTCCCATCTCTGGAGTTAGTACTGCTCTGGCAGAGGCGCAGGTGTCCAACCCTGCGCTCCTTCTGGTTTGTCTGATGAGGGATCTAATGGATAATGTGTCCTGGGCACTACCCTGATGGTGTTGCTGAGTTCCTCCATTGCCCCGTATATTTGTGGTTGTGGGCCCCGGAGCATTGGGCCCCCCTGTCCGTTTTTTGGTAATGGAGCCCGATGCTTTTCTCCATGGTATTGTGGGTAAACCCCCGTTTTTTGATAATGGAGTACCCTCTATGGTGGTTTGAGAACAGCATTCATTAGCCCAATATCTCCCTCTACAGCATCGTGGGCAAATACCCGGTATTCTATCCCTTTGATACCTAGTTTTGTTAACTCTCCTCCTATGTGACAATTCCTTTTAAAATGTCCTGTTTGTTCACAATTGTAGCATGTTTTTGGCCTGGCATCTAAAGCCTGTTGTACTGCAGCTGCCAAGGCTTGCCCTTGTTCATTAATGTCTCTATATAATTTAATATATGTGTTTAAATCTTCATTTTTCCATGGTCTAATGGCCTCCTTGCACCATGAATTTGCTTGCTCAAAGGCTAGCTGTTTAATTAATGGCATTGCTTGTTCTGTGTCCCCAAAAACTCTGGTAGCTGTTTGAATAAGCCTATCTACAAATTCAGCGCAAGGTTCATTAGCTCCTTGTATTACCTTAGATAACTGACCTTGTAAATCTCCATGTCCTTGTAAAGTCTTCCATGCTCTAACCGCATCTGTAGCAATTTGCGAGTATATAGCAGGATCATATGCAGTTTGTTGCTGCTGACCCTCATAAGGTCCTTTTCCTAACAACATATCTAGATTTCTCTGAGGATAACTGGCTGCTGCATTTCGCCTAGCCGTCTCCTTGCAAAATTCCTCATTGGCAACCTTCCATAACAGGTATTGTCCTCCATTTAGCACAGCTTTACACATACTAGTCCAATCTGCTTGCGTCATGTTCAAGTTGGTAATGGATTCGACCATGCTTACAGTGAAGGGTGCTTGAGGACCATAGGTTGTTACAGCCTCTTTTAGCTGCTTCACTGTTTTGAAATCTAAAACATGGTGATTTCACTGCCCTCCTGCCACCTCAAATACAGGGCATGCTAATCTTTGAGGTTGTGTCTCAGGATCCCATCTATCAACTACGCAGGTTGATGTCCACTCAGCATATATTGTCTCTATAGGCGGAGCTGTTGGTTAGACACTTACGCCCTCTGGTGATAGAAAGGTGTTAGTAACAACCTCCCATTGTAATTTCTCTCCTGATAGCCCCTTCTTCTCTAAACTTTTTTCCTCTGACTAACTCGAGAGGCTTCCTCTTTTACTTGATTTAAAATGTCTTCTCCTAGACTAAGCAAAGAAGATTGTAACAACGTCCATATGGTAATATGCCAACTGGCAGAGTTCCTGGGCTTTCCTTTTGTATCTTAAAATCTTCACCATGATGGTTCCATTGTGATATATTTAACAACCCCTCTTTAATGAACCATGGGCTACACCTTTGTATCATCTTAACATATGCCCTAACTGTTCTTGATTTTACTGAGATGCCTCCTTCCTCTAGCACTTTATAACGCCCTTTCGGTTTGGTTCTTATTAATTTTTAATTTCATATTTCCATGACGAAGATACCCCTCATTAAGATAATCTAAAACAAAACTGAGACAAAATGAAACAAAAATGGAACAAAAATTCATTATATCAGCCTTTCTATCCTCCTGAAATGTCCATCTGTCCTTTCTCCCCATCTGTTCTTCAGATGCAAATAGTTTTTCCTCAGATGTGAGCTGTTTTTCTTCCATCCCACCCATCTCCAGGGACTGGCAACTTAAAACAAAAGTGAAACAAAACAAAAGAAGAATCTTTAAATGGTTATCCATCCTCTCGCACTGCCCCCAGAATCGAGCAGTTTACCTTATCACTTACCCCCAGGTGTTCCCTGCATGGGCCACCATATGCCGCAGTCTGGCTGGGCACAAAATAACTGAGCTGCCTCGAGGCACTTGTAGGTTCAAACAGGAACTCCTTTATTGCCTGAACTCCCACAAACGCCACCCAGTCAACGCCACCCACTCGGCCCTTCCAGGAACACCATGAACCGGAAATCCCTCCTCTGGAACTTCCCCAACCAATGCGAACTCCCCAGGAATCCCCTTGAGAACTCCACCTGAAGAGGACAGCAAGGGTCTAATATACAATTGAATACACAGCTTAACATAACCATCATCATCTCAATGGCTCGCTGGTATCACCTCTCAACCACTCCCTTCTGGCAAAAATGCCATGCTTCATTCCAATTCATTCCAACTAGGCTGTGGCTCTCAGCAATATTGTTAGTCAAAGTTTACAAATTTGTATTTGAATGGGCATAAGAAGGTCAAGAGTATTTTTGTATCACATGGTGAGTGTAGTATATTATGTTCTTGGTAAATACTAATAGAATGAATGCAATACTTTGTAAGCACAAAACTGATAAATATGTGAAATAATGCATGTATTGGTTCACTTCATTTAGTCATTTCACTTTGTATATATACTTTAAAATACCATGATATACTTAGTAAATACACAAAGTTGAATTTTTCAATGAAACAAATCATCAAATAATACAAATTTAAAAATGTAAAAAACAATTTATTAGTCTTGAAGGTCATGTTGGCTTTATCCAGATAATATGGATGTAGGCTCTGTAAGGTTTTTATTCCCTTCCAAACTCATTTTCATGGAGAATTTTTCTAGACATATGTGTGTATTTTTCTTATTAAAAGAGTCCAGAGTCTCTTTACTCTTGTTAAATAACTGTGGTATTATCATCCAAAATCTATCTGTTAATTCCAGGTCTCTGTGTCATGGTAGACAGAAAGCAGTTTTCAAATACTTCAAGAAAGCCCTAAATGCTTGTGTGTATCTTTTATATTTCCCCTATTCTACTGAGAATGAAAGTAGCTGGTGAAGTTTTTTCTAAATTCACAATGCTATATTGTGGAGGAGCAATGGCTGTATTGGGGAAAAGTTACATATTTTCTTCTCTCTATTATTATCCTTAGTAATATACTTCTCTTGGATACTGTGATCTCTACAATAGTTTCAGTAATTTTCACAAGGTAATTTTGTCTGTACATTTTTAACTTATATATTTCTGGAATAATGATGACCTTGGATTTACTAATCTGCTACCTCACTGATTTCTTGACATGGTGATAATTTCATATCTTACTATGAAAATATATTCATTTCAGCCTAGTAAGTAAAATAATTTTTATATTGGTTTATTTCAGGCATGGCTTCTCATCATATCCAAGAATTTTCACAAGACCAGGGCATAAAACATATACTTCAAAAAGTGATAAATGGAAAATATGGAAATTATGAACTTGACTATTCACAACAAAGAAAAATATGGAAAATTGTAAGTGAGAATGAACATCATAAATTATATTATCAAAAGTCAGTCCTTATTCACCACCATAGAATTCGTATTAGAGAGAATCCCTGCAAATTTAGAGAATGTGACAAAGCTTTTAATGAAAAATCTCACCTTATTTGCCATCAGAGAATTTATACTGGAGAGAAGCCCAACCAAAGTAAAGAATGTGGCAAAGATTTCATTAAAAAAACACAGCTTATTCACCACCAGAGAATTCATACAGGAGAGAAGCCGTACAAATGTACAGAATGTGGCAAATCTTTCATTAAAAAAAAGCACATTATTTATCACAGCAGAAATCATACTGGTGAGAAGCCCTACAAATGTACAGGATGTGACAAAGCTTTTAGTAAAAAATCAAGACGTTTTAGCCACGAGAGAACCCATACTAGAGAGAAGCCCTATCAATGCAAAGTATGTGGCAAAGCTTTTAATCATAAAAGTAGCCTTATTTGCCACAGCAGAGTTCATACTGGAGAGAAGCCCTACAAATGTGAAGAATGTGGCAAAGTTTATACTAAAATATCAGCCCTTAATTACCACAGAAAAATTCATACTGGAGAGAAGCCCTACAAATGTAAAGAATGTGGCAAAGCTTTTCGTAAAAAATCAAGACTTATTAACCACCAGAGAACCCATACTAGAGAGAAGCCCTACCAATGCAAAATATGTGGCAAAGCTTTTAATCAAAAAAGTAGCCTTATTCGCCACAGCAGACTTCATACTGGAGAGAAGCCCTACAAATGTAAAGAATGTGACAAAGCTTTTAATGAAAAATCATACCTTACTTACCATAGCAGAATTCATACTGGTGAGAATCCCTACAAATGTAAAGAATGTGGCAAAGCTTTTATCAAAAAAGCATACCTTATTCCCCACCAGAGGATTCATACTGGAGAGAAGCCCTACAAATGTACAGAATGTGACAAAACTTTTAATGAAAAATCAAGCCTTGTTTGCCACAGAAGACTTCATACTGGAGAGCAGCTCTACAAATGTACAGAATGTGACAAAGGTTTTAGCAAAAAATCAGGCCTTGTTCGCCATCAGAGAATCCATACTGGAGAGAAACCCTACCAATGCAAAGTATGTGGCAAAGCTTTTAATCGAAAAACTAGCCTTATTTACCACAGCAGACTTCATACTGGAGAGAAGCCCTATGAATGTGAAGAATGTGGCAAAGGTTATATTCAAAAATCAGCCCTTAATTGCCACAGAAATATTCATACTGGAGAGAAGCCCTACAAATGTGAAGGATGTGACAAAGTTTATAGTCAAAAATCAAGCCTTATTAAGCACAGCAGAGTTCATACTGGAGAGAAGACTTAGAAATGCAAAGAATGTGGCTAAGCTTTTAATCATCCATCAAACCTTACTAGACATCAGAGAATTCATATTGGAGACAACTTCTACAAATTATTATAGCAGAGAAAAATTATTCAAATGAAAAAACTGTTACAATGTGAAAATGTCTCCCACAATAGGTCACCCCTTACTCAACACCTAGAAAACATACTAGTAGGAGAGGGTCAAGTGGAAAAATTTGTTTCAAAACTCATAGACATTGCTCAAACATTATTGAACTTTGGAGAATTCATAATCCTCAGCAACCTTAAAAAGTTAAATAATGTTTCCAATCCCTTATTTAAATTTCAAATTTATTAAACATCTGAAACCTTATTCCTGTAGTGAAGGTTAAACAGCATTTTCCAAAATATGTGTCATATTTAATAGTGAAATATTTACAATAAAAACCTTGACAAATATAAAGGAAGTATACTAAAGTCCTTATCCATACCTCATAACTTGATGTACTTGAGGGTCAGTAAAAGAGAAAATAATTTAAATATAGAAAATGAGCAACTGGCTTTAATTTTTTATTAAAATTTATTAAATATTATTAGGAGATATGGAGAGATAACAAAATCATTGTAGATATTATACATCCAGAGTGCAGATAGCTCATCTTTGAAAGGATATGCATTTCTTATAAATCAACGATTACTGAATATTTGCACTTTTGAATGTTGGAGAAAATTATAAGAAATATATTTTTAAAAATTTTAATTTTTAAACTTCATTTCTTGTACTGTGGGTTAAATTTAATGTGTGAGCCACATTCTCAGTCTCACACACACACACACACACACACACACACACACACACACCTCCCTTCCCCGACTCTTAAATTTTGAGGCAAGGTCTGCTAAGTTGCCTAAAATCTCACTAAGTTGCTAAGGCTGACTTTGAACTTGTGAAAGTTTTTCCTCAGCTTGCCAATTTGCATGGATTACAGGCATGGGCCACCTTGCCCAGTTTACAGTGCCTTTTTACCTATATTCATATTATGCATGCAACATATTAATAAATATAAGTGAATGTTAATATGTTAACACTGTCATGTATTGAATCATGTCATTATCTCAAAGGTATCACAGTTTTCCACTTGACTAAGGGATTTATGTAACAGTAAGACATACTATTGGGTAAATAGTACTGTAACATCTCTTAATTATTGTACACATTAATCAAACTTATTTGGGAAATATAATTTGCATAAATCAAATTGTTATAATTTTTCTGTTTGTATTTGTGGAGATATTAAGACAGTTATGAGAATGATATAGACTGCAGAGAAGACAGACCAAGGCAGACTCAAAGAAAACTATCCAAGCACTCCAATTAGACTTCTTTGTGTACTGAGCAAAAGTCTGCAGGCTTCCAGGTACACCAAATCTTCCTCTACCTCCCCCTTTCACTGTGTGCTCTTTGCCTCAGATGAGATTTCTGCATTCAAAGCCAGCCTTTCAGAAAATAAGGGCCACATATAAAATAAATCTGATACTTGGGAATCCTGAAGTCATCACTGGAGAATTTCTAGGGCCTAAATTTGAAGTTAATATTGAGTTGCTTTTGATGACTATGCTTTAAGGTAGTGTCTTAATTTTACTAGCTTGGCTTAAGTTAAAGATTATTTTTATTTTTGTTTTTAATTCCAATGTTATTTTGCACATGAATTAAGAGTATGTGGCAGGCAGAATAATGTCATTCCCAGGAGATCCTTTTCCCATGATAATAAACATGCCTCATTATCTTGCAAGTGACTTTGCAGATGGTATTATGTTAAAGATTCTGAGAAGGGGAGACCATCCTGGATGGCACAGGATCATCTACACAATCCAAGTAATCCCATGGGTCTTTAAAATGAAAGAAGAGACAAAGAAGTCTGGTGATGGATCAGGCACTCTGCCAGCTGTTGCTGGTTTTGAAGGTGGAGGAAGCAGCCTCCAGCCAAGAAGTGAGGGGTTTCTAGAGCCAGAAAAAGCAAGGAAGCAGGATGTGCCTGAGGTCCTCCATTGGGTGATACAATGATTGTATCCCCCAGTGATTTTAGACCAGTGGGACCCCTGGGGGACTCCTAACCTACAATTCTAACATAATTGGATGTGTTCTCAGCCATGATGTTTGTGGAAAGTTGTTACCACAGCAATGGAAAATCATCACTAGTGCTACTCCCTCTCACTTCAGCATGAGGAGATCTGGGATATGATGAACTTTGTAAATCCTGAAGGTCTTAGGGTGCTGATTTCAACATCATGTGGACATCAACACTTAAAAAATGCTTTATTGATGGTGGCAATGCTGCACAGGCTTCTCTGTGACTCTGATGGAGAATATCTAGTTGGCCTCCTCTACAACAGAGTAGAACTTAGAATGAATCAGGAGACAGGGAAGCAAGGTCCTGGCTAGAATAAGTGAAGATGCAGGCCACAAAAATAAATAATGGAGAAGGAAGTAGAATTAAGAACAAAGGGCACAAAGAAAGGGTGAACCTAAGAGCTGCAGGTGTGACTACCTCTGAGCTCTGAGCTTCAAGGCCCAGGAAGTTGCATGTGGGCCTCAAGAGAGACAGGATCTTTTGGACCAGCTGTTTTCTCTCCCCAATCTGCTCTCTGAGAGCAGTATAGTCATTGATGTGGTCTATGATATGGCAGCCATGCTTGTTGGTGAAGAAGCCACCTGTAGTATCACCCTCCAGCTTGGCAGAGCTCTTCATTCCTGGAGGATCATCTGAATCCAGCTCTGAAAAAGAAAACCACAATAATATAGGATCTGCTGTTATTTATGATAATATCCTCAGTTCCCACCAATGCAAAGAGACAGTGAAAGAGCCCAGGATCAAGAAAGGCAGCCTTCAAAAATTCTGAGTGGGTGAAGTCCATAGAGACCTTTTGGTTTCTTTATTTTTATAAACTTTCTTACATCATTGCATAATGACAAACTTGCCAGAAGACAAATTTTGTCTTCATTGACAAGTGGGCTATTCAGGAAGAATAGCATAAACATGAAAAGTTTTCTGGATAGAAAAGGCACAGACAAGCAAATCAGCTGGACACAGACAGCACATTTAAGAATGTGTACAGGAAAAAAAAAAAGAATGTGTACAGGGCAATGATGCAAAAAGAGCAATAGGACAACTGTGGCAAGAAGAAAAATGAGAAGAAAGGCAGCCACAGAAGAGTCAATGAACAGGACTGAAGGCTTTGTTGCACACAGAAAATTTTCTAAATTCACATAACACTTATAGAGGACTGACAGCTATTTGCATTAATAATTTTCCTTCATTGTGTCCAAGCCTCTTAGATGTCATATTTATACCATTTGTCCTAGTGACAATGACAGTATTTGAGCCAGGAGAAAAGAAAGCAGAGCTGTGAAGGACCAGAGGCAGAAAATTCTTACCAACATCCCAAACTGCAGAGGAAATAACTGAATCTAGGGAGGAAAGACAGCCAGTGTTCAGGACACCTCAAACACCCTGCACCCCAAATCACACACAGTCTAGCCTTCACCACACAAGATCTAAGGCACCAGGACTTCCCTGTCATGTCATCAGCATACATATGCCCCATTGAAAAGCAAAAGTCAACAGATTGATATGTTTATGTTATTTAGAATGAAAAAAGTTTGATGGACAGGTATTCCAAATGAATGTAACTTCTAGTTTAAAAACCTGTTAGGTACAATTTTAAAAACCAACTTTTTTTTCCCTATGTGCTGTCTAGTACAATGGTGTAGTGAAACCTAAATATGCACAAAATCACATGCATATAATATATATATATATAAATGTTAAAATATTGATCAAGGGCTGGGGTGCAGTTCAGTGGCAGAATGCTTGCTTAGCATGCAGGAAGGCTTGGGTTCAATTCAATTTTGTAAAACAAAAGTTTACAAAATATAAAGCATCCCCAAAAAGGAGTTCCTGCTAAGAGAAGAGTGGGTCACAGCCAGGTTCCAGTTCAGGCCTCTGGGGGCTGGGAACAAGAGAAAGAGTAGAGACTGAGCCATGGGGCTGCATCTTAGCTGGTGCATGGGAAAACAGTGACAGGGAAGCCTTTTTAGAGGGAAGTGAAGATGTGACTCAACACCACACCCACCAAGGCAGCTCCAAAAGGGGAAGGCAACAATCTAATGTATGCTTAGCAGTTCCTGCCAGATGGGTACTGTGCTTGGCAATTCACAGATGCTTCTTACTTAAAGGCCACAATAAAAAGTCCCTGAAATTGTCCAATTTCATTTGAAAATTGAAGTCATTATCTGAAAAAAAAAATGAGTATTTAGCACAACTAGAGAAAATAAGGATTAACATGACCCAAGAATTTATGGCATGAGAATTTGAAATTCTGAGCCTTGAAGGCTCAGACTTAGAGAAGAAACATGAGCAGAAGTGATAAAGGATATGGCCATACAGGCGAATGGAGAGGGTAACTGGATTGGTGCAGCAAAAAGCAAAACAGAAGAAGACATAGAAGTGGAATGATGTGTCAAGAGGTTGGGGAGTGGGTCTCTGTTAACATTCAAATCAAAACTAGGAAAGCAAGATAGAGACTGGATACTGAAGAGAGCCAGAGAAGTCTGGTAAACATGCTTATCTGAAGAGGCAGGCAAGAGACTGGGGCAGAAGTGGATGTCTACCATGTGGAATGAATGTGCCTGCCACCTAGCACTGTCCCACAGCCCTGGTTTCCTTTTGTCACACACTGAGGTCCCCCTAGGTGAAGGAAAGGGAAGCCACTCTAGAGAGTGTGGCAAGGTCTGTGATACTGAGACAGCCTAGTGAGGTAGAAGGAAGACTACCTAAAAAGAAAGCACCTGATTTGGTCTTTAGGCCCTATAAACCCCAGCTTGTCTATTCATGTCTCAATGCCCCATTTGCCAATTGGAGCATGTGAAATATAAAAATATCATAAAACCTGTCCTACTATAAATAAAATTGGGGGGAAAACTGGCTCCAGGATAGTATGTGTCTCCCACTTACAGCCAAACTTCCATAGAATTTTTTTTTGCGTTTTTTTGATTTTACAATGATTTTCTTACATATATTTCTTTTTTAAAATTAGAACTCTATAGTCATACATTGCCGGGGGCCAGCCTCAGCATGGTGTCTCGGAGGACTTCCTTGATTGGATAACAAGGAGTTGGCGAGGAACAGCGGAAAAACACAGACACAAAAGTGAAGGTGCTGAATCTGAATCTTATGTCTTGAATCATATATACTATTCTTTTTGGAATGATTACAATACTTTGTGGTTACAAGGCAGGAAGCACAGAAATTGTTATTCAAGGAAGTACAGTTTCATTTTTGAGTAAGCCTAATCAGACAAAAATAATCATTAATCCTAAGCACCAATAAGCACTTTTAACTTTCATTTCGTGTTTTGCCTTGAGCTGTTCCACTTAGCTTAATAGTATTTAACCATGACCCAGACATTTACTCTACCCTCAAGCTGATTTATCGTATTTCAAACCTGGACTGGTGCCACAGTTATAGCAAGTGGTTAACTTGAAAGGTTTGGCTACTATTTTTAATCACTCTAATGGCAAAGAATCATACCATTCAGTCCTGCTAGCTGGTACCTGAATCCAATACCATCTACTTATTTGTTATCTAATGATTAACTTTTCCTCTCTAATTTTTAAGCATCAAGGGGTCCCCCTATGTCTGATTTGTTCCCAGTTCTTAAATCTCTATAGCGTACCCATTTATTATTAACATTTACTATCAACCCTATATTGGGATCATATTTTCCTGTCCAGGACCAAGGGGGCAAGGTGGGAGTTGACTCTGGTCCGGGTCTACGAGGGGGATACCAAAATCTACCTCCAATCATGTAGGCTGGCCCAT